TTAGTATTTCTTTTCTTCTACTTACTTTTTTCTAGTTTCCTAAGGTGGAAAATTGTTAATTTTAGATTTTTCTTCTTTTCTAATATATGCATTCAGTGCTACAGCTTTTTCTATAAGCACTGCTTTCACTGCCTCCCACAAAGTTTGATTTTTTTTTTTATTGAGTTCAAAATACTTATAACTCCTTTTGAGACTTCTTTGACCCATGTTTATTTGGTAAGGTGTTTAATTTTTAAATATGTTTTGTTTGTCTGGCTATCTTTCTAGTACTCATATCTAGTTTAGTTACATTGTGTCTTAAGAGCACAATGTGTACAATTACTATTCTTTCAATTAGTTTCAATAGTCTGTCTTGGTCTTGGTGAATGTTTCATGTAAGCTCGAGAGAAATGTGTATTATCCATGTCAATTAGGCCCAGCTGACAGATGGTGCTGTTCAGCAACTCTATCCTTACTTGTTTTCTGCCTTCTAGATCTGTCTATTATTTATAAAAAGATGCTTACTTGGCAAGGTAAGTTGTTTACTCTTGGCTCTGGCAAACAGTTTGTCAGAGGCTAAAATTTACCTTGATGTCCTTGTTTTCTTTTTCCCCCCTTTGTCCTTGGCTTTCCCTTTGTTATTGTTGTTATGTGCCGTCAAGTCAGACCCGACTCATACTGACCCCTCCTTGGGTTTCCGAGGTGGTTGTTGTTGTTGTTGTTATGTGCCGTCGAGTCAGCCTGACTCATAGCGACCCCTCCTTGGGTTTCCGAGGTGGTTGTTGTTGTTGTTGTTATGTGCCGTCGAGTCAGCCTGACTCATAGCGACCCCTCCTTGGGTTTCCGAGGCAGTATCACTACAGAAGTAGGAGGTATCACTATGGAAATAGATTGCCCAACGTTCCTTCCGAGGAGTGACTGGTGGGTTTGAACCTCCAGCCTTCTGGTTAGCAATCAAGTGCCTTAGGCACTATGCTACCAGAGCTCTTTGGCTTTCCCTATAAACTCCTTAAATAGGGTCTAAGTCCTACAGATCTTTTAGCTATAATCCACTGTCATTATACTGGAACTCTGATGATATGGTGGTGCGGTGTAGGGGGAGAGAAGTGTTCTAGAGCCCTATGGTTAGGTCTCAGTCTTTAGTGGGTCAGTGTCCCTGGAGTTTGATGTTCATAACTGCTTCTCAGCTCCCTTTCCCCAAGATGAGACAGGAAGGGCCTAAAGTAGGGTATTTCCCTTTCCCTGCATGGGAGGCTATATGGGGCTCAAACCAAAACCGAACTCACTGCCATCTAGTTGGATCTGACTCACAGTGACCCCTCCTTGGGTTTCTGAGGCAGTATCACTATGGAAGTAGATTGCCCAGTCATCCTTCCGAGGAGTGGCTGGTGGGTTTGAACCACCAGCCTACATGGGGCTAGAGTTTGGTATTTTCCTTCCACAACATTGTTTAAGCTTTGGTAAAACCCACATTGCCTAGACTCGGATAAAATAGTTTGCCTCAAGGGCAGGCCATTCTCAAGGAGAACAGGGACCCCTGGGCATATTTCAAAATGGTTACTTTTCTCCTTTCCCTACTGGAGGTGTGAGGGGATTTTTCTACAGTTTTCACTGTGAGAATCTAGTGGAGCTCCTGGAAGCAAAACTCACAACATGTGGAACTCCCCTGAGGCTGGGCCCCTAGAGGTTTTAACTCTCAAGCTCATCCACATTGAGCCTCCAGCAATTTGTCAATTCCAGTTTAAAGTATTCCTCCGCATATTGGCACCAGTGGTAGGCTTTTGCTCCCAGTAAGCTCCTGGGCTTTAGTCTGGTAAGCTGTGATTATTGGTGTCTGCCTGTCTGTCTCTCTAGTTTTCAGGCAACAGTTTGCCCAGTGACTTTAATTCTCTAATAAATCTAAGAAGAGTTGATTTGCAGTTTTTGTTCAACTTTTTCCTTGTTGTATGTGTAGGAAAGATGACTTCTAAGCTCTTTATATGTTGGTCTAGAAACAATACCACTTTTTTTTTTTTCACTTTAAATTTAGCTCCAGAAATGGGGTTTTCATACCACAGCTTAGAAATTTTGTGGTAGTCTCCTTTGCCAATAAATTTTTGAACTAGTTAAAACTTTTGAGTATAGATAGGATTTTTTGACAACTCCACTGTCAAATATGTCCTGTCTTCCAAGTTAACTGAGTGTTGGTATAACAGGGTCCAGATTTCTCTTATGTGTTGAGTTGTGGTCTCATCCAGTGGGAGTCAGTGGCTTGCCAAATCAAGTTGGTATAATTCAACTCACAGGAGGTAGCTTTGGATAAATTATTCCAGAATCATCTTGGCCATGTATTATTTAACCCTGCACATCTGTTTCCCTAAGACAAATTTGTATACTTGTTTTCTTTCTATAATGCACTTAGAAAAACCAAAAAAGCAAACTCACTGCCATTGAGTCGATTCTGACTCATAGCGACCCCCTTTGGGTTTCTGAGGCAGTAAATCTTTACGAAAGTAGATTCCCCAGTCTTCCTTCTGTGGAGTGGCTGGTAGGTTTGAACCGCCAGCCTTCTGGTTAGCAGTCAAATGCCTTAGGCACTACGTCACCAGAGCTCCTTATAATGCACTTACTTATCCCCAAAATAGTAGCCTTTATACTAGAATGCACTAATGCATTCTATTCCCTTTTATACTCCCTAGATTGGAAGGAGCAAGGTCTGCTCCTGCTGAAGGGTGTCCTTCCCTCTAGGACTTTGCAGCATCTAATCCAGAGGGATAGCAGCCAGTAACTCAAGTCTCACCTATTGTCCCTGCAAATACTGAGTATTAATGGTTGACTAGGATGGTCAACAACAAAACAGTGACAATGGTATTTTAGAAGCACTTGTGTTTTTTGTAGGCAATTAGGAATTAGATAAGGGAAACTGATGAAAGGTAAATTATTCACTTAGGCTGTGAGCTTGTGACGTGTCCTGCGGATGGTGCTTTCCCATCATGCTTTGGCATCTTTTTCTGAAGCCTTTGATGTGTGTCTACTCAAGTAACTCACGACACCTATGTATAGTCACTGGGAAGATGCAGATACTGGCCAGCATAGAAGCTAGCCTCATAATCATGTCCCGATTTCTATCTCGATGGCCCTGGCTGCCTGGGGACCATTCGCTGGCCCTATGAAATGTCCAGGCAGTGATGTCAGGCAAGGTCCTTGATCCCATTACTTCTCCCAACTCCTGTCTTGATAAATGCTATCATACCAGTGGAATCTCAGAGCTGAATATGACCCCCAGTCACCACGTCCATAAACTGAGCTCCTTGGAATTCTGTGGCCATAGAGCTACAGATCAGGATGGCCTCAGTGAGTCTGGGATACAGTCAGTTCTCCCTCAAACAATCCCATCTCAATTGCCATGAGTAGGGTCAGGGAACACCCAAGGAGATATGTAATAAAAGGGAAGGCAGAAGGCTGCTTTAGAGTGTACTCCAACATAAGGCTGCTTTAGAGTGTACTCACTTATCATTTTCCATGAGAAGAAAGGAGGAAACCACTCAAACAAACTACATCTGTAATGGCAATATTTTCAGGAACCTATCCAGGAAAGATAGACTGGATATGTCAGCTTTTGCTGCAGCAACAAACAGCCTCAAAATCCTCTTGGCTCATAACAGCAAAGATTCTGTTTGCTAAGTGTGGCTCTACTCTAGGTGGCAGCAGAGTTCCATGTGTCTCCTTGCACTGAACCCTTGTTCTTGTGAAGCCAGGAAGCCAAGCCTTACAGGCAAGTGCATTTAAAGTCCTGTGCTCATGTGGCTTTGTCCGCACAGCCACAGTCCACTGGGCAAAGCAAGGCCACGTCTGGCTGTCCAGGTGTGGGGCATACCCCCTCCACAGGGGCCTGAATTCAGGCAGGTGACACTGAGTAGGAATGTCCATTATAAAACTGTTTGGACGTAACTCCAGGGTAAATTCTTAGGGGAAGACTATCTTGCTTCTTCAAAACAAGCTACACATTTCCCCCTGCTGCCCTGGAGCCCCTACAGGGGCACTAGCCATTTCGGACTTAAATTACTGTGCCCTAGTGCAAGTTTTTTTTTTTTTTTGGTGTGTCTTGAGAAGGGAGTCCAAGCTGTGTGTGTTAGGATAAATGGGACTGTCTAGGCAGATGCTTTTGGAGACACTCAGGGGTGATACCATTCTAGGGGATATCAGATTCCATGTGTGAGTGTCTAGGGGCAGAGGCAAAAGATGGAGACAAAGAAGTGGGAGCAGCCTGCTCAGTAAGCAGGTGGGCACAGGTGTGGTGGTTCTTACACATGCCCTTCAAGAAGCCTGCCAACATTAGTGTTCTATAATCCCACATACAAAGGTGAAGTGAAGCTCCCTGAAAAGTGTTGCTTTGGGTGGTACCAGTGATTTCCTTGCATATGGCCCTCACCTGTCAAGTAGGTGAGACCTGTGGAGCAGTGTGTCTGGGAAAGGCAGGGCTTGCTGCTAGGGTTAGCCAAATGCTAGCCAGAGGTAGATGAGGCTGGGGCCAAGCCAAAGTTTGCAAAGTAGTATTTCTCATGGGTTGTCTGCAGAGGATAGAGTGGTTTTTGTGAGTGAAAGTTTGAATTTTGGTATCTTAGAAGCCCAGCTGGTCTTGGTTTCATGGCTCACAGAACCTTCCTCATGGAGCCCAAGTAGCCTGCTGACTCCCATAGGCCTGCTCCCCCACCACCTACCTCTATGCCAGCCTCGTGGAACACCCTCTGCTCAAGGCCCATGTGAGAGCAGCCAGCCCAGCTGGTTCCAGCCTGCCCACCCAAGGAAAAGGAAGAGACCAGAAAGAGGGCTCCTGACCTGCCCTGTGACCAGCCCATCTGCTGACCACCTGGGCCCCATTGGCTCCACCCAGGCCAAGTCCTTGAGTCACACCTGCGTCCGCCATGTGTCCGCATGGCCCCCGATGCCCATCTGTATCAAGTCTGTTACTGCCTTTTATTTGGTGTGACTGTACTCAATGACAATAACCTTCTTAGCTCTCGTGTCCCTCCTACCCCCAGCAGTTGACCAAGCTCCACCAGTTGGCCATGCAGCAAACCCCCTTTCCTCCCCTCGGACAGACCAACCCCGCTTTCCCCGGTACGTACCCAGCCCCTACTGCCCTCCTTCTCTTCCTGCCTGGGGCTCACTCTGCAGCCGTGCAGCCAGTTCAGTCCTGAGTGCCAAGTGAGGCCGAGTCCACCAGTGGGTCTGTGCCCATGGCCGGGGGTGGGGCCTGTCTATCTCCCATGGTGGGATCACGTGACCTTCAGTCTTATTTGGTGGGATCCTTGCTTGTGATGAGGTGCTGTCCCCTGCAGGGTGCTTGCTTAGCTGTGCTATCTGCCGCCCATACTGGCACCTTTGGTGGCCCTTCCTTCAGGTGCCTCCATCAAAGGAGTCCAGTGTCTTCTGCAGGAAGCTTGGAGAGATGCTGGCCAGCTGTACATGGCCCTGTCCTAGGGCAGGGAGATGGCAGTTCCCAACGAAAGGAACCATTAGAGAGCAGTTGTAGTAAAGCCCAAGGCACCCTCACAGTTTGGCTGGTGACACGGCCACCGGACAATCATATTTTGAGCTTCCCTAGTTGAAGGGACCTTGCTTATCTCCTTGAGGGCAAAACATTAAATCTGTCTCTCTTTGCTCTCCAGGAGAAAAGCTGCCTTTACACTCCTCCGAAGAAGCTCAAAATCTGATGGGCCAGTCCTCAGGTAAAACAAAGCCACTTCCAGTTGTAAAGTGAGGGCTAGCCAGGGTCTAAGCAGAACACCAGTGGGGGGGGGCCATCCTGGTGGGACAGGATAGCTGGCACTACAGTGGGAGTAGTGAGTGAGTACACAGAAGGAGCCATCAGTGCTCACCTGCCATACAGCTGACAGATGTGATGTTGGTGAGCTATGCATCCTGTTGAAAAGGGTGGAGTTCCAAGGATGCTCCTCCTCCTAGGAGGCAGCTGCCTTCACCAACTATGGCCCTGTAAGTGACAGCACCACAGGGGGAAGGCTGTGGGCAGAGCTGTCTGGTCATTTTACCTTTGTGGTGACACAGCATCCAAGAAGCCTGCCATGAAGACACTATCGTTCCCTGTGTGTGAAACCCACCCAGAAGAACAATCACTGTACTAGGCTCTGTCTGCTCCCCTGATTCACAATGGGGTGTTTGTTCACAGAGGGGAGCCAATGAGGTTATGTCAATGAGGGAATTAGGTTGGTAGTAAACCAGTGGGAAGAATATGGGGTATAGGAGGGTTGCTTGGTATCCAATGCACTTCCCTGATGGAACAGCTGAGCCTGCCTTCCAGACTAGCTGTGCTGAGATCCTGGACCTGAGCAGAAGATGCTGGTCTGTCTACAGGGGAACATGTGTGAGAGTAGAATGTATGTGGTCTCAGTTACCACCTTACCCATTGCTGTGTTTGTTCTAGGGCTAAGGCTCCACATCCCTCCAGGTGTCTCACCATCCCCCTTTTGGTGCCTTCCTGTGTGGGAATCCATTTGGAAATAGAGAATGCCATAGACTGAGGGCACAGTAGCTGAGACTCTGCCCTGGTGTTCCAGGCCCTTATAATAGGTTGTACTCAACTTAATACAACTTTCATTAATGACTATTAGAGAATCATACTTTTAGAATGTTTTGATTATGGAAATGGAAACAGCCATTACAGAATCCTATACCTAGTTATTAATAGTTGGCATAGCTATGTGATCCTGCTGTTTATAAAGCCCTCTGTGGTTTACATGTGACTTCTTGTAATTACTCAGTGACCAGGTTTTCGGCTGGCCTGGGGACACCCCCATGGTCAGGCCAACACTCCCCCCTCTTTGCTTTCCACACACATACTACCCCTCCTGTCCCTTCCCAACACACCTACTCTGCTACCATCCAGCATGGTGCTGGTATGCCATGCTGGGTCTCAGGGAACAGGACATGTGGTCAAGGCCACAGCCTCAGTGACCTCCTGGATACCTCCCCATCATGGGACCTACAGCGCATGTCCATGTATCTAGCCACTAGCAGCAGGGTAACCAGGACAGACAACAGTGCACATGCTGGTGTGACAGCCTCTGAGTAGCTGACAGTCACACTGTGTTCCAAAGGCTTGATGTTGGGAAAATGTTATTTATATATAACTCACCGCCATCGAGTTGGATCTGACTCATAGTGACCCCACCTTGGGGTTTTGGAGGCAGTATCACTACTGAAGTAGATGGCCCAATCTTTCTTCTGAAGAGTGGCTGGTGGGTTTGAACCACTAGCATTCTGGTTAGCAGTTAAATGCGTTAGGCACTACACCACCAGAGCTTGGAATATTACTGTCTTTACCATAGAGTCCTGAGAAAAATAACCATGCTTTGAGTAGATGTATTGTCAAGTTACTGGTTTAATTCTGGTACCTTCTCTGGAAGAGTCATGGTGGTTTCCTCCCCTTGATGTATATGTACTCAGTTCAGCAGCTGCAACTTGCTGCTTATTGCATCCTAAACTCTGCATTGTCAGGAGGGCCTGGCCGGGCATAACATGGCTAAGGACATTTTAAATGTCACCATTTATGGAATCTGTTTAGATAGTTGAACAACCAAATAATTGCTGCTTTGAAAAGACTTCTGTTAAAAGAACACAAGGACAGACTCTCTAGGCTTGGTTATACAGACAATTTGGGACAAATTGTTCCTTCACCACATACCAGCTGAACTCTACTGCCCATCAGGTGTTAGCTCAACTAGAGGCCACAGTCCACAAAGCAACCTGCCTCACAGGTCACTCCAGAACAGGGTGGCAGACTGACGAGGAGGAGGAGAGCCTCCCATAGGTGGAAACAATGAGGGGAGGCAAAAGGAAGCCAAGATGGGGGGCCAGTACAGCAGGGCAGAAAGTTTGACTATGAAAACAGGGCCTTGGTGAAGTAGGGAATCTGGAGGAAATAGGGGACCTGCCGGAAGCTATATGGCTTGAACAGAAGGGGAAGAAAGGAGCATAAATAAGTGGGAGCTTGAAAGAGGGAGGGTTTTGAGCTGATTCATGATGTGCTGTGTTCCAGGCTCACTATAGGCCGTGAAGATGAGACCTAGGAGGCAAGGGTACAGGCAAGGGATCAGGGTGGCAGTGTGTGGGGAGATGCAGCCTCAGATCCAGGACACTTCTGAAGGTAGATCAGAGAACCAGTGATGAGCTGGCCATAGGCAGGTGGAGAGAAAGTATAGATGGAGCCCAGGGAATACCCAAGATTCTAGCCCAACTGCAGGACTGACAATGTGGAAACTCTGCAGAGACTTCAGGGGGAGGACAAGGCTCCTGGCTGTAGACTCAGTGGGCTTGCTAGGCCTCCTGGATGAGCACAGGGCTAGAACTGCCTGGAGGAGCAGACCTAACCCACACTCCCTCAACACTACATTGTCACTACTGTTGCACTCTCCTACTCCCGCCACTGCCACCACCCCTGCAGCCAGCCCCAGGGCCTTCAGGGGATCACTTTATTGTCACAATTTCCCAAGCATGATTAGAACTTTCACTTTAATGCTGATGTGTGCTAAATTGAGATTTTTGAAGATGGAAATTCAGGGCTTTATGATCCCTTCTGCATAAGGATGTATGTACAGAATATTCAGTTTGTCATTCTGCCTGGCCATTTATTTTTGAATCAGAAAGTATCAGAGTTCTTGTTCCAAATTGGAGGAGCAGGTTGGGGATAGTGGGGAGACAGAGCTGCATCTCATTCCCACTCCCAGGCTATACCACATGCCACATGTCATATGCCACAAGCAGAGGCTTGAAAGAGACTTCAGAAAGGTAGTGCCATCCTCTATCATTGGGGGACATGCTGTTGTGCAATTCATGTGGGATGCTAGGTGAGGAGGAGGCCAGAGGGACATCTTCTAGCCAGCAGGAGCAGTGGGTACTTGGCAAGCTGTGGGGCCCCACCTTCTCGTTGTGACTAACTAGTCTGTGTCCTAGTATGACCCATAAGACCCTGAGGCATTGAAACCCTGCCATTCAGCATAGGCCTTCCAGAGTGTTTGTGAATTGTGTCAAGAAAGAGTCTAAAAAGTGACATGTCCAAAAAAAAAACCATGAAGTGCTATTCTGCCTGGGTTTCTTTTTATTTTGTTCGGGGAATTAGGCGGTTGGATCAACAGTTCAGAACTGAGTGCTTGTGGGGCTCAGGGCCATGAGACCTTGTTCTTGGACAGCTTATCCAAGCTTCACCTGGCCCAGCTGAGAGTGGGTAGTGTGGGGGTGACCATGAGTGGTGCTCCTACTAGCCTAACAATGTTCCCTTCATGTGCCCAGGTCTGGATGCCAGTCCCCCGGCCAGCACCCACGAGCTCACCATTCCCAATGATGTGAGTATGCCCCTGTACCTCCCTGTACTCATGTGGAGATACCCAGCACAGGATGGGAGACAAGGACCCACCACTTGCTCACTACCCCACCTTCTTCCCAAACTCATTAGTTGATGGTTCTCTGCAGTGCTTCTTTACTTTGCCTTTCTCCTTTTCCTACTGTAAGCAGGTTTTATGCTCATAAAACATAAGTGACTTTATATCCCTAACATACTGTGGTAGTTAAGGTTGTGTAGCAACTTGGCTGGGCCTGGTTGAGTGGCTGTGCAGCTCGTGGTAGTTATTCCCCATGATGAGACTGGCAATCAACTCCATGGTGGGATCTACCACAAGCAGCTGAGTAGCTGGCTTTGGGATGTGGCCTGCTTCCTGTATATAAAGAGAAGCCTTGGGAATGGTCTCTAGCTTATGGCACTCTTGGACCCTGCATGTAGTCGTGTTGTTCGTTATTCAGCAGCCTGCCATGCTCTGCCAACCTTGGGACTTACAATGAACTTAAGTTAATGGCCTGCCATGTGGTTTGGTAACATCGGAACTGTGCCTTTTCACTTGTCAAACTTGGGCGTGGCAGCCTCAGCAGCCAGCAGCTGTCTGAGTAAAAAAAAGCTTCTAACTTCAGTGGGCTGGGAGCTAGAGGCAGAGCTGAAGCCCAAGGTTAAGGGGCTTTTACCCAGCCCCTAGAGCCTGGCACTTTGTACTTGGACTTAAAGCCTCCAAACTGTAAAAGAATAAACTCCTATTTGTTAAGGCCATCCTATTTGTGGTATATTCCTGTCAGAGTGGCAATAGGTAACCAGAACACATATTAAACAATAAAGAGGCCAAGAGGGACATCAGGGCTCAGAATTCGAGAGGCCAGAGTTGGCCATGGGAGCGTAGGACTCCAGCTTTACCCAGCATGGCTAAGAAAGCACTGCCCTGGTTCAGAGTCAGCCTTTGAAGAGTGGGAGACCCAGGATCACTCTGGAATAGGCCCCAGCAGCACCTGCTCCTTCTGATGGAGGGTTAGGATTCTCTGTGAGTCTGCTCAAGGTCTGTGGACCTAAGGTTGGTTGGACTCTTCTATTAAAACTCTGCAGTTCATTTACTTCTCAGGCATAACTGAGACATGACCTTACGAGCTCACCTCAACATGCTCATCCTCCCTCAACTAAGAAGGGTATGATGGGGAGTGCGGAACAATTTGTGTGTCCTTGGGTTATTCTAAGAGTGTTGACTAATGATCCTGAACCAAGAACTTGAAGGTATCCTTGAGGGGTAACTGCCAGAGCAGCAAGCATGGACCCTGTGTGTAGAAATTGGTGATGCTCTGTGCCACCTTCCAAGTTCAAATACTGATAGGCCTTTTCACCCCACATCTGTGGGCTTTGGGACTGTCACACTTTGCAATGGTCAGGTCAGCCCTCACACCAACTGGGTAGCAGAAAACTTTATCCTTCCTTCTTTCCTTCATGTGGAGTAACCAGAAGGAACCACAGATTTAGAAATTCATGAAAATTATTAGTCCTGACCATGAAATGAAGAAAAGAAGCAAGGAATGGAGGGGAGGACCAGTGCAGCTGCCAGTTAATAGCTAGAAAAGACAATTCCTCCCTTCCAGGATTAAGAGGAACCCAAGGAAACCTCACACCCAGTCACAGGCAAGGGCTCCTGGACAAACTAGCAGTGCCTGTCCTTAGCTTTTTCCCATCCCAGCAGCCTCCAGACTCTCTTCTCCTATGTCCCACAGCATAGCAGTGCAGGGCACTCCAACTTTGAGGAGCTTTGCTTATCCAGCCTCTCTCAGAACATTCCAAAGTTGAGCCAACTTGGCAGAGGTACCATGACCAACATCAAAACAAAACTATAATCTCAGCCCAGAGTGAGCACAGTCCTCTACCCTCTGGCCTGGGATACAGTGTGAGTGTGGACTCTTGTGGGAAAAAGGCATCTGCTTTCAACAACTTTCACACTCCCACTTTCTCCTCCCACTCTCTCCCCTTCTCCTTGCCTCTCCTTCCTTCTTCACTTCTTTCCCATTCTCCCCTTCCCTTCCCCCTTCTCCTTCCTCCTTCCTGTTTCTCCTCCCCTTTCCTCTCCTTCTTTCCTATCTTCTTCCTCCTCCCCCTTCTCTCCCACTTCCCTCTTTTCTTTCCTTCTTCCTCTTCCCCTTCTACCTTTCCTTCCCCTTTTTCTCCCTAATACCCCCACTTCTTCTCCCTCTCTCTCTTCCTCCATCTCTTTCCCATCCTTCTCTATCCTTTCCTCCCTCTTTTCCTCTTCTTCCCCTTCCTCCTATGTGGATAACTCCTTTAGCCACCAGGCTTTTGACAGCCTCCCCAGTCTTTTCACCCAAGTAACAAAAGGAAGTAGAATGCTCTACCCTGTGGGTTTTGTTCTTTTTAGCTTACCTAAATTGCTCTTTCACTAATTCCAGGTATCTTGTTCACATCCAAGCATTAGTTTTAAACCTGATATGAACATTAGCAAACAAGAAGATGTGTGTTTCTCTCTGGAGATCTGGTCTGTGCTGCTTCATGGGGCAAGCACAGAGAAGCACACAAATATGGGCTCAGCTTATCATGGCTCCTCCTATTCCTCCTTTGAGAGTTATTCCTAGTGAAGGGACATTGTTCCTTAGGAGGGATTTCTTCATCTGTGTGCCCTTCAGAACATCCTTTCTGGTCTTTCTGTTAGAGGGGCTTCCTCCCTGTCCCCCGGAACCCCTCCATGGAGCAAGGTGCTGGAGGGCACAGAACACAGCTCCTACTCCCAAGAGTTCACATTCCTCAGGCCACAGCATGTGCCTTTATTCTGATGCTTGCCTGTCACCTTGTCTGTCTCCCTCTCTTGGTCAAAATCAGATCATCTCAAGGAGTTTACATGGATACTTACAAGTTACCATGATTTACTGGGGGGGGGGGGGAGGAGCTTCTTGATTACAAGGAAATCTATAAATGAAACAAAACAACATGGAGTTCTGCAGAAGGTCCAGCCCACATTCATGATCTCTGAGAACACAGGCTAGGTCAGAGGCCCATGCAACAGCATTTCCAGTGTCCATTTCTAAAGGTCACTGTCTGTGGTATACCTATTCCCAACTGCACCATCTCTGGGGCTATGATCACCTCATGCACTACCCCAGCACTAAGCATCTGCTAACGGAGGCTCAAGCGCTTCTACCTGGTCCTAATTCACACAGTCACCTGGGCCTGCCTGCTGGAAAAACAAATCCAGGGGTCAACTGGAAAGCTCTAGGGGCAGAGGTAGACCAGTAGGTCATTACTGAAAGTCCTGTGGGGTTTGGCTTTGAAATCTTAATTGAGAGGGGCTATGTTCCTTCAGTTCCTTCAGTAATATCATTGCTGTTGTTGGATGGATCTTAGCTGAAAATGGAGAATACCAGAAATACATTTACTTGTGTTTTATTGACTACACAAAGATATTTGACTATGGGGATCATAATAAATTATGAAAAACATTGCAAAGAATAGATATTCCAGAACACTTAATTGTGCTCCTGCATAACCTGTAAGCAGACCAAGAAGCAGTTGTTGAAACAGAACAAGTGAATACTCTGTGATTTTAAATCAGAATAGTTGTGCATCAGTGTTGTTTTCTTTCACCATACTTATTCAATCTGTATGCTGAGCATGTAACCCGAGAAGCTGGACTATATGAAGTAGAAGATGGCATTAGGATTGGAGGAAGACTCATTAACAACCTGCAATATGAAGATAATACAACCTTGCTTGCTGAAAGTGAAAATGACTTGAAGCACTTATTGATAAATATCAAAGCCTACAACCTTCAACATAAAGAAAACAGAATGACAGAGGGAGAAAAAATTGAAGTTTTCAAGGATTTCATTTTACTTGTATCCACAATCAACACTCATGGAAGCAGCATTCAAGAAATCAAGTGATGCATTGCACTGGGAAAATCTACCACAAAAGACCTATCTAATGTGTTAAAAAGCAAAGATGTTACTTTGATGACTGAGGTGCACCTGACCCAAGACATGGTATTTTCAGTCAACTCATATGTATGGGAAAGCTGGACAATACGTGAGCAAGACTGAAGAAGAATTGATGGCTTTGAATTATGGTGTTGGTGAAGAATATTGAATATACCATGGACTAATGGAAGAATGAGTTCTGTCATAGCAGCAGTACAGCCAGAATGCTCCCTAGAAGCAAGATGGCAAGACTTTATCCTATGTGCTTTGGATATGTTATCAGGAGGGACCAGTCCCTGGAGAAGGACATCATGCTTGGTAAAGTATAGGACTAGCAAAAAAAAAAAAAGACCCTCAATGAGATGGATTGACACAGTGGCTATCTGAAGATGACAGTGAGAGGTCACTGCCTAAAACAATTGACAAGAAGAGGGAAAGGAGGGATGAGTAAGAGTGGGCTGGTATGTGAGTTGAGATGACTGCCACACTGTGACTGAGCAGTGGAGACAGACACCATTGGAATTAAAGGGAGAGACCTGAAAAGGGACTAGCTGGACAAACATGGCTCTTAGACACTGAGGATAGGCAGAGGAAGTGGAGAAGGGAAGCCCAGGGTGCAACTGTGAGGCCAGGCAAGATCTTGCCCTCTGGGTGTGCCACTTTTATGCCCAGACATGTGGCAGTACCATGGCCTAGGGTACTAGGAGGACCTCTTCCTCCCACCATAAGCCCTCAGCATGCCTCCAGCCAGCTGCCGCTCCTATAGGCCTTGTCAAAGAGGAACCCTCACAACTATCCCACCACAAGAAGTGTTCAGAGTTATGTTTGCAGTGGTACTTTGTGAAGTGGTGGCTCTCCCAAAGGAGAATCCATCCAAGCAGTTTAATGTGACCTTGTGCTGAATTAGGACATCACCTGTCCTCAGGAACTGGGCAGACTCAGAAACCTGGCTACAGAGATGCCCTGGGGGGATGTGACTAGGGTCAAGGGATGTGGGCATGGCCTGAGAAGATGTGAATAGAGACTGGGGAAGTAAAAGAGCCAGAGGAGAGGTGGGCAGAGTCATAGAGATATGGGCAAGGCTGCATGTGGACAGGAGATGGTATGCAGGAGCTGAGCTTTGACTTGGGGACAGTGTTCTTCCAGGGTCTTTGCATAGTTGATTTTTTATGGTCTAGTGAGACAGCTGGTCATGATCTAGGAAACTCGCAGAGAAGGCCTGAAAAATGAATAGACTTAACCCTTACAGATCATCCCATGGCCAAGCATACTACACCTGTGTCCAGGTTGAAGAGTTTCTTACCACTGAGGCCCAGTCACTTCACAGTGGGAATGAGTTTTATTGGCTGGACCCAAATTTCCTGCACCCATAACACCCCCAGCCCACCATACCCTCATTGAGTCTCTCACTGACAAAAATGCAAACATGTCTTTTCCAGCACTTTCCCCACAATCTTGGAAGCCCCTTGAGCAAGTCAGTATTCCCTCACCAGGTGCTCTCAGGGAGAGATGGATCAGAAGCTACAAGGCCAGGTTACTGTCCCATCTTCGTCCACCCAGAGCTGTCCTTGGCCTCTGTACCCACTCCTCCTGGGAAAACTCCCACCCCATGCTCCCTGGGCCCCTTTCCATTCACTTCCTTTTCCCTGTGCTCCCAGAGCCTTCATTGGTGACATGTGGGGTTATGAAGGTGAACATTGAGGGAAGCCATGATCCTTCAGAGTCTTCTCTAGGGTCCAAATCTGAAGCTCTGCTGAATCTGCTTTTAGAGGTCTGGACCTCTAGGCTTCTGTCTGTCTGCATGTGGCTGTCCCTGTGTCTACTTGGCTGTTGCAGGGAGGGCCTCATTCTTGCTGACTACCACTCCTTCAGATGGACTCTAGGGGACCTAAGACCATTGCATCTCATCTTTAAACAGAGGTCAAAAATGAGAGGAATGGGAAAATACAATGTATTGTCAGAATTCCATCTACCAAGCCAGGATTAAGGCAACAATGACCTTCACTCCAACTTCAGACAAACACTTGTCCAGCAAGTTTCCATGCTAGGAGCCATCTGCACTCTGAGTCTACACCCCAGACACTCCAGGGCACCCAGAGAAAACTTTGGTGAGGAAGGGATGAGGCATGTGGCTCTGAGACCTGGCCCCTGCTGGAGGGTTGGCCATGTATCTCACAGCCATGGGACTTGGTACACAAGCAGCAGCATGACTAAGGGCAGAGCACCCTGGGAAGAGATCTGGCCTCCCCAAGTAGACCATATGTTTGCCTTATGAGTCAGTTGTGTCATGCAGGATCCATCTGTGCCATGTCAGTTCTGCAGGGCCTCTTCCAGAAGCTCTGAGCTCATATAGAGGGCCACTGCCCCATCCTCTCTGTGCAGGGCTTTTGCATATACTCTGCACAGCCGTCTCCTCTAAGACATCCCCTCCATCCTCTCTTCTAGCTAATAGGCTGCATAATTGGACGCCAAGGGACCAAAATCAATGAAATTCGACAGATGTCAGGAGCACAGATCAAAATCGCTAATGCCACCGAAGGGTCATCAGAGCGCCAAATAACCATCACCGGAAGCCCGGCCAACATCAGCCTTGCCCAGTATCTCATTAATGCCAGGTAAGCAGCTTGCAGGGCCTCCTTCAAATGTGAATGTCTTGGGTTTAAGGAAGGCCCTCAGAGAAGCCAGCCAGGGAGCTCAGAGAGAGACATGCTGGCCTGGCCCAAGACCCCTTCTTGTCTCAGAGTCCCAGTTCCACATCCTGAGAAGGGAAAGAGTTAAAGTACATAGACTGTGGATCTCTCTCTCCCTCTCAGTTTCTTCTCTTTCTGCTGAACACTTGATACAGACTGATGTGGACAGTATGTTGTAGGCCTAGGGCTATGGTTCCCATCTTTACACTTCTGGATCTTGACCTACTCACCTGTAGAGTCTCAAACAAAAAGCTGGGTAAAGCTAGAAAGTAGCAGCACTTATTGATGAAGAGCCTATCTGGTTTGAGACAGGTCCCTGACGCTGGCTCCTTCTGATTGCATCCAGCCCTTGTTCATGAAATCTGGCCCAGGACAGCTGCATGCTGCCTTTCTGCTCTGGTGTTCACCCATCATGCTCAGAGAAGTGTGTCAAATGGAGACCACAGGCACAATGCCATGAGCCTCTGCTTCCTACATTCGTGATACAGATGAGAGAACCAGGGGTGGTGTGGGCAGTGTGATGCCCAAGCTCAGCTCAAAGCCATACTCCCCCATGCCATTCTGCTGTGCTGTAGAACTCGTGACACCAACATGTGGCCACTACCAGCCGCAACTGGTTTTTGATGTAAAGAAAGAGGGTGGGAGTGGCCAGAGGGACCTAAGTCCCATGGGATGAGGCTGAGCAGAGCCTCCTACCCTCAGCCTCACTACCTACTGCTGAGTGCTCTCCCCACCTACTGCCATGGCCAACAGAAGCCCTGTAAACACACATACTTCTGATGCCCATGGTCTAATAGTAATGGGCACAGCAAGAGTGCAGGGCTGTGAATGTGTGCTGGCAGTTGACACAGCCCAGCCACCTCCTGCCTGCTGTGCCAAGGCTGGAGTGGGGGGCTTGGGTGTTGGCATGATGTGGAGACTTCAGTCAGCCACACCCTCAGGTTGACTCAAAAGTTATCATAAAGTGTCCATAGTTCTGTAAGTGGTTCTGCTCTGCCATGTCCTGTGATTATAAAGACATCCCCCTCAGATGCTTGTCAAGCAGTGTATCAGGGCCTGGCCTGAGAGGTTTCTAGGCCATCCTGCCAAGGCCCCCATGTCATGATAGATTGGTGCCATCTTCAATGGACCCACCCCATGGTCAGCAGTGGTGCCCTCAGCTATGATGCTTTACCATTCCCTGTAGGTTTGTTGAGGGCTATTATCATGAATCTGACACATGGACACTAGCACATGGGGTAGTGTAGGCCCTGGTAGGCCTCGTGGCTCTTCTCCCTCCTACCCTGTTGCAGTTTCAACTCCACTATGGCTATGAGACTGTGGCTGGAGTATCAGCTACAATTAGGAGGAAGCAGGTATGTGGCTAAGAGGGTGCACCTGCCCCTGTGTGGCTCCCCTCTACCTCATCTTCTGCAGCATGTTGTCACAGCGCTCTCTTCCCTCCCTGTCCTTTGTCTGTTCCAGGCTCACGTCCGAGGTCACTGGAATGGGTGCGCTCTAACCTCCACCTGCTGCCTCCCTCCATACCACCGCCCTCCCGAGCCACTGCCTCCACCCGCTCCTACAGCGTCCTGTCTGCCCACCGCAAATACGCAATAGATAGGGGTTCTTTACTGACAGAAATTATATATATACCGTACATACACATGTGCGCACACAGTCACACACACTACACCTGTATCTGTATCAATACCGCGCCTGCACTCTGGGCTCCATCCTCGGCCCTGCTCTCCAGTATTAGTTTATGCTCTGTTTGTCCCTGCATTGGCATGCAGTGTTAATTATTTTAAATACTTGAGGTGTTCCCATGTGTGACATTTTAGAAGTATTGTTCCTTAGTGTAATGTGCCCATTTTAGAGTTGGGTTGACACTTGGCAGCACTTTCTGTGAATTGTCACCTGCCCTGCCATCTAGAACATGATTGCCTTGAGACACCTCCTCTCATGGATCCTGTTCTGCTTACTTTATTCCTGGGGACCCTGTGCCCATCTCAGGTCAGGTTTTCACCTCAGATCTTACAGGGTCAGGGTGTGATTCCTCTGTTCTCACAGGAAGGAGAGTGCAGCAGGGGCAGACAGGAGAGGAAGGTTTCCTCGAACATTGGGTTCTGTCCCCAGGAGCAATTGGAGTGGTGGGGGGAGCCTGGCTTCACTGGGCTGTCTCGAGCTGGGGAGGCATGAGGGTGTGATTTCCTTGGAGGATCCAGGGTGCTGGACTCACAAGGAGGCACAGCGTCTGAGCTCAATAAATGTTGTCGCTCCTGACCAACTAGCTCTGGCTCATCTCTGTGTCCTCCACATTCCCAAACTCCTGAGATGCCTGGATTACCTCCTACATATGTATGCACACATGCAATTACACACACATGCACATGTGCACACACATTCATGGTTACATAGTAACCATGAGCACATGGACCTGCACATGTGCATATACGTAAACACATTCACACCTGTGCACGTGCAATACACACACCTTTGGGCACATTCATGTACATGCATACACATGCACAAACATTCCCCACTCTTAGGACCTCACCCTCTGGCCTGCCTTCTGTTTAAAGAGTCTTTGAGTTTTTTCTCACATTCATGTGTTAGGATTTCATTCTTTCTCCCCAGCCCTTTTATTAATGTTTGATTTGCATAAGCCATTCTGACTTGTGAGCTGGTGTCCTCATACAGCTGGCATCAAAAGGTGGGATGTGGGCACATATGCCCTCAGTTTCCTCCCAACACCATGCATGGTGCCCCTCTTGTGTATAGGTGCTCTATCATCCATAAAACCTAACGTTCTCTTCTGTGAAGTTGTTTTGAAATCTGGATAGGGTTAATTTGCCCTTTGTTTCCCATCCTATCTCAACCTCTTTCCTTGCCCTCTCCCTCACTTTGGTCTTCCCCCATATCCTCCAGTTCCTCCCTTGTTCTTCCCCAGTCCCTCTTTAGGCACTCAGTGTCTTTTGCCACCACCATCTGCATCAACACTCAGAGCAATCCCTGTGTCTGTGCTCACTTCTGACAACTTCCCTGTGACCCCTCCTCACTGCTGGGGCCCCATGCCACAGCCCACTCTGCTGAATGCCACCATGTTCCTCTCCTCACTGCTCCCCACTGGGTGGCAGCCATCCCAGCCTCCAGTCAGGGTACCAGCCCCTCCCCACTTCAGATTTTTGGGGTTCCCACAGTGGTCTAGAAGACAGATGGGGCACAGAAGTCAGAAATTCCAGGAGGACTGACTCCAGTTGGGCCCTTGGCTTCACTTAGTGAAGTAAGTGCTCAATGGTTTTTAACACAAGCATGTGGGTAAAGTGGAATGCCATGGGGAAGCCTGTCCCAGAAATGGTGGACCCACGGGGCCAGACGTGGCTGCAGTGCCCACCTCCAAGCAGGGCTCCTCCCATCTCTGCCCATGTGGGAGCCACACTGTGCTGTGTTTTCAGCTGTCCACTTCTCAGACCTCTGCTAGGCCCATGGTGCTGAGACAGGCTACTAGCCCCCACAGCCCTCCTTGGAGTGCCTATAGTGGCACAGTCAGGTGTAAACACAGCAATCAAGGGTGCCAGGGCACAGCAACTCACCTTCTTCCCTCCCCCATTGGACATAGTGTGGTGCGTGCCACAGCCCAGGCCAGGAGGCAGCAGGGACAGGCAGACCTGGCCTTTCTTTCTGCACCATTTCAGGAAGGTGTAGGGAAACAGGGTACATGAGCATGTCAGACAGAACAAAGGCCTACCAGTGGGGAGGGAATGAAAGTGTGTGTTAAGTGGGCATCAGGACAGGTCACCCAAGGTGAGAGGAGGCAAGACTGAGGGTGTGAGGAATTGCCACATGCAGCTTGAGGGAGTGTATAAGTATAGGGAGTAGCCAGGATGTCCACATATTCACAGAGCAACCAGGAGGCCACGCAGGTAATGGTGGAGAGAGGAGGGGTGACAGGGCAGGGGGATGGGGCGTGGCACTCAATGTTCTTATCCTGGAGAACCTGGGCACCCCAATATGTAAGGCAGAGGCTGACTGTGACCTGTGGTGACCACTGGCTTGGCCACATGTTAGGCATGGCCACAGGGGGCAGGGAAGGACTATAAGATGATGGGGAGGATGAAGCTGGGTTGAGAGACACTGTAAAGGCAGAGTTATCAGAGTTTGTAGGCAAACTTGGATGTGGATATGAAGAGGAAGTACCCAGGCTTACCTGAAAACTCCTGGTTTGAGCCTTGGGGACACAGAATCACTGTCCCTGAGCCAGAACAGTGGTGGAGTGTAGGCTGTGGGGATTGGAGCTAGGCTTTAGGTATGTGGGTCCAAGACATGCTATCTAGGCTGTGCAGATGTATTTCTGTGGCCTTGTGCACCCAGGCTACACAGCAAAGATGGACCAGGCCACTGTCAAGGATGTGACAGAGTGGGAGACCAGGGCCAGAGGTTGGCAGAGGGGAAAGCTGTAGAGGATGGTGTGGCCAGTGCCTCAGTGCCACCTAGGGTCGAGGGTGAGGCCTAGGGGATATGGGGCCCACAGGTGATGGGAAGATGGGAGAGGGGACCCCTTCTGTGTCCGCTGTGGCATTGAGCTTCACCATGGCTCTAGGTGATACTGGGTGCCCTGAGGAGATGGCTCCTCCCCAGGGAGCAACCCAGGTAAATGGCACCAAAGAAGTCACAGCAGTGACAGTAGAGAGTGTTACAATAATGACTGTGGGTTAGGGCAGCCCCTGGCTGGTTTCAGTGACACCACTACTTAGACATTGACCATGATGGAGATATGATGTGATGTCATCACTGAACCCATGCACAGTCAGCTGCTGAAGCCTGTGTCTGTGCCCCTTCATCTCTGGCAACACTCCTCTCAGGAGGTCAAGGGTTCAACTGAGAGCCTCCTGTGGCCTCAGCAGCCTACATGGTGGCCATGTTTGACTGGTGACAGGCCCTGGGGGTTGCTGTGGCCACTGCCTCCTGGTGTGCCCCCTTTGTGTCATCTCTGAGTGCAAGTGGGACCTGCACCCTGCTTCTAGCCAGTAGAAGTCAGCTAAGGTGATGTTGACACATTTAGTGGCCTCACATCACACAGGAGCTGTCACACAGTGGCCTACCAACTCTCCTGCTACCTCTGACAGGCAAGTTGCTGGGCCATGAGCTGCAAGGAGAAGGCCACTGGCCTCCACTCAGAAGGGTGTCAAGGAGAGGGGTATTGCGAGCCTCTGCCCAGGATAGGAGGAGCCATGGGTGCCCAAGCCCACAACCACCACATCACAGAGCCCTCAACTCCTCAGCCATAAGGACCTGAACTCTGCCAACAACCTGAGGGAGCCTGGAAGTGGAGCCTCCCAAATCTAACCCTCAGGTGGTAAAGCACCAGCTGATGCCTCAACTACAGCCTATTGAGAACCTGATGCAGAAGACCCAGATATGGAGGCTGGATCCGTGAACCACTAAGACTGTGCAATAATCATTGCAGGTGCTGTCAGCTGTCAAGTCTGTGGTTGCTGTGATGCAGCCTAGAAAACTATTACAGTGGCCTTGTGTGACCGACTTCCTGATCTCACCATAACTAAGTATATCAGTTCATCCCAAGTCAACAATGCTCCCTGGGCAAATAGGAACTTCCACTGCAGGGCAGGCCCACTACGAGGAAGGGGTTCTGAGTGGACCTACTCTGGCTGTGTTCACCCACCCTTGCCATGTCTACCTGCCTGGGCCTCATCCACCCACCCTGTTCACATCCATGCCCTCCAGCCTGTCTCAGTTCCCTCCCTCTCTGATATCCATGGTCCAGCTTAGGGGGACTATAACAGATCTTCTCTCAGGGAAGGAGCCTGTCCAGACTCTCTGGCCCTGAACCTGACCAATTTCAGGGCTTCTCTTTAAGAAAAATAATGCAAAATTGTGAACACAAACTTTGGTATGAATGTTGTTGTTATTTGCTGTCAAGTCAGACCCTACTCATAGCGACCCCTCCTTGGGTTTCTGAGGCAGTATCACTATGGAAGTAGATTGCCCAACCTTCCTTCTGAGGAGTGGCTGGTGGGTTTGAACCACAAGCCTTCTTGTTAGCAGTCAAATGCCTTAAGCACAATGCTACCAGAGCTCCTTGGTATGAATGTAGACAAGTATTTAGAATGACACTAGAAAGAATAGCAAGCTGCATCTCTTAAAATGCACACCAAATCCACAAACATCACAAAATCCAGGAAAATGACAAAGTATTTTAAATAAACCACCTGCCATGCCTCTGTACTCCTTCTTTCCTCACAATTTTAGCCATATACTCTGTAATCACTGCTTCATGTGACAACTACTTTGTGTTAACATTTTCTACAAAGAGAAAGAATTCAATCTTTTTTAAATAGTATGGTTGGAATTAGACTTTCATTATTAAAACTTGAGAAATGTTTCCTTCAAATTCACAGCTCATCACTGACAAATTTAAGATTTTAAAATTTGATCCTTTAGGATTCTCATCAAATTTGAGATAATCTCTATCAGTTTCTTTTCAGAGTGAACTCTGAA